TCCATATGTAATTATACAAAATGCATTTCTGCTAAATTGTTTCAGAGGTATTTTAATATGCAAATTACAAAATATTTTTCATTTAATATTCGAAAAGGAACCTTAATTTTAGTTTGCTGTTTAAAATAATAGGAACACATTTTTCCTTTAGATATTTATTATAACAAACATTGATGTATGCTTTCGACTTTTGAATACATTTATCTTAATACTATATAAATATGCGGTAACACATCTATAAATATATAGATAGGGTGTAAGTTTACAATGAGTATTCGTCCATGGACACGACTCGAATTACATCGACAGCACATGCCGCAAGAGAATTCAGATAAATATGATAAATAAAACTTTTATTTTTGTTAAGAATAGATGAACTATCACAATTAACTGGAAACAAAATTGTGATTAATTATTATTGAACTACTTAATGAATTCAAGTGCTCTAAGATGTAAGTCGAGGTGTTTACAAATTTTGCTTAAATACGGTTCTTCAACAATCATTTACTTTTAGACTTTGTTGTATTGATTAAATTCTTAAACCAAAGCATTCAAAAATATACTATCATTAAGCTGCTGTTAAACTTTAATAGAAAAAATAAGTTGAAACTTGTGGTTGCATTTTATGAAATTACTTTTATGAAACTTTTTAAGCTTAAGAACAGAAAATTATAGATTAGTTATTGTATGACAATAAATTGTAGTAGTAATTCTAAGTAAAAAGGTGTCATTTTGGTTTTTATCACCTGAAACGTATAAATAGTATTGTTGCAGAAAACCTACGCATGGGCAAACATGATTTTCGCTAGATATCTAACAAAGTGTTCTCGTGTAGTTCGTTATTTTAAAAAATTTCAGTGAACTGGCTAAAAAGTATCATACTGAAGTTTTTTTTGTATGTTTAATATATAATATTATGTTGGCAATTTTTCCTAAACAGCAAAATTCGTCACTTGAAGGGAATCAAAAGTTGATGGTTATTGTTCTGCTACTTATTATTGTTTTTCTTCTGTAATAAAATTTTATTCTAAAATTATAGTTATAGCGATATAAATAAATAATATTGAGATATTTGAAGGCATACATTAGTTATAATTTTAAAATAAACTAAATACTTTTTCTATGTCTACCAATACCGGTGTCTTAATGACTTTACTGAAAACGTGCTGTTATTGGTATTAAGCGTAAAGCTATCTAAGATATACATATTTTTAAGTTCGATTTGGTTAAGTATTTTGAGAATTTAAATTGAAAAGTAAAATTAAAGTAATTACTACCTAAAGGTACCGTCATGTTATTGGAGCTATATTTTCGAACTTTAAACTGCATTGAGAACTTATAGAGGTATCACGTAAAATTCGTATTTTATCTAGCGGGCAAAGTCTGCTACGTGGATAGGCTTTATACCATGTTTACAAGCGTATTGTCGCGTAACATGATACCGTGTATTTTCTGCATTACTGAACTCCTGCAGACTGAATATCCGAAGATAATCTGATATACATACATTGCTTCTCCCCTATTCTAACAATAGTTAACATATTAAAATATAGTATGTCTTAAACCTAAACTAATCAATGAAACACGATTATGTAAATCAGTCATTTGAAGAATAATGTTAAACATAGTAATAGAGTATTTTTATATATCTATAATAACTGAGTAAATATATGATGGGCTTCCAGATGTATTCCTTAACAATTTAAAAATATTTAATGATTTGTAAGAACAATAGCTCTCAATGCTTCGCGCCTCAAGAGTGCGGCCGCCACATTCTAATACAATCCTGTTAATTAAAATTTGCTGATATCTTTTAAATGTGGATTATGTCACTGAAAAATATTTTTATTTTGATAGGCCAATTACACATTACATTATTAATAAATAAAAACGCATCATTTCGAATATGTAATACTTTTCAGCCTTTTGTGACGGACGGATGCGACCGCACATTTTCCCAATTCAATACCTACCCATAATGTTGATAATTACTTTAGTTTACCTTCTAAATTCCTCTAAATTTTATTTTCAACTTTGGCACTTTTACTTTCAATCGATCACAGAGTCGATTTTAATGCCACACTGGCAATAGTATTTTATTAAATTCCTGCAATTATCTACAATATTAATCGTACCTTACGTATTTCATTTAAAATTAAAACAAACTTCTTTTCTTTTCATGCACAATTATACATCTGCAAAGCCACTAAATAAATTACTTAGTAAATAATATCCAAAATTAACTTCAATGTGATCATTGTCTTAGTTAATTGATAAATAACAATTCCCTAAGTATTCTTTGGAAACAATACCGTTCTACAGGTATTGGTTTTAAACTGTTAGACAAAAGCTTTTCAGGACGGAAGCTTAATAATAAATTATGAGCATTAAAAAGTAGTATTTATAACAAAAATCAAAAACTGAAACATTTAGGGAAGAAATAAAAGTGTCTGCCTTGAAAACAGTTATTCAATTTGAATTTCTTGATATGAGAGTTTCTAGTATAGTGCCTTTGGCGATTTCTTAATCTCTATTAATAATTAATTAATAAACAACATCTACAAAGATTCTATATATACGATAAAAATCGAACAGGTTTATTAAAAATTACTAATAAGCCAAAATATACAACATTATAAATTAATAAAGGCCTTACATTGAAATTAATATATTTTGTAGGTTTCATTTACAGTGTGAAATTTGAATAAATTAACAAAATTGGAATATTGAATTTGGCTAGAGCTTTATCTTTTATTTTATAGCTTTATTTGAAATAGACTATCTTTAACGTTATATAAATAAAATTACATATTATAATCGTTAAATAAATAAATATACATATTATAATATTCTATTTTTTATTTAACAATAATAAATTCCAAGTGATAAAAGTTATTCACATATTTATGAAACAATTTGTACACCTTCAGCAATATAATAAAAGTATAAAAACAAATTTAATTGGCATACAAATATTCAATCAACTTTGACCTTGTATTTACAAAGTCAAAAGCAATGCATTTTCTTGATTTACTTATGGGTTTATTAGATTGAATTAGTCCAAATTATATGTAATTAGTAATCATATCATTTCAATTTCATCTTGTATGTAGATATTTTTTTATATATAATTACTATTAAATACGTTTATAAACATTTAGTTACTTATTAACTAACATCAACTGTAAGTATTGTGAATTATAATAAAAGACTTAATGCTAAAGTATTAAAAGTGTCTAAACTTATTGGCAACATTTTCTATTACCTATATTCAGGGAATTGGGTCTGTAAAGAGATTTAATATTAAAGGTCTTATAATTTGCAAGTTAAAGATACGAACCCGTTCCTATATTATAGGTACAGTTAAGTGTTTTCAGTCCTTATACATATTATCTAAGTAAGAAGATTAATAGATGTTAGGATTCTTAAAGTTTCTAAAAATCCAATATTGGTTACGTTTAACATTAACCTACGGGTTAATGTTAAACGTAACCAATATTGAGGTAAGCATACGTGCTTACCTCAAGTTTGCATGATGGTGCACACTAACTACGAAGTGTTTCCAATTTTTCATTAATAAAGCTGCATTAGTAATAACATGGAGAAAATTTATGAAGGAACTACATGACACGCTTCGTATGTGTACACTGCCATGATGTAAACTTGTACTAAGTGTAGTGAATAAATTTTCTACCTTAACGACTACTTTTAATATTAATCTTTTAAGTATCCTGTTACTTTATGTGGTATATTTAAATAAGTTTTAATAAGTATATATATATATGTATACTAGACCAATTTGTGTTGAGATAACACTGACATGTAAAACAGTTATTCATGTTAATTATGTGTGACTTAGCGTTTTTAATTTTAATATCATACAAGAAATCTGATTTTAAATGTGAAATCATAACAAGAAAAATCTAGACTTAACCTGTTAAAACGAAGGAATATATAATATATAAAATGGTTTAACCGAATGAATAATTTATAAATTATAACTGATATAAGACGTTATAATATGCATGCAGTTCCTTAAGTATTGATATAAATTATAAATTCGCAATTTACATGTTCGAAATACTACCTAAATATTACTAATCGAAGTTACCCCTAAACACATAATTTTAAGAGACCCTGACGACATCTACTTGGTAGGATCCGATAGTAATTGGGATTAAAGGTATACTATAATATTAATACTAAAAGAGCACATTAAATTTACAATTATATTTAAATAATTCTCCTCATCAATAAATTCTCTTTTATTAAGTTGATGGGTTTTTAAGAATTAGATGTTCACCACACCTACTGTTCTGTTTTTAATTGAAACATGCATATATTTTCTACCATTACCTTTCCCGTTCTTATAATATTATAATCTCGTATAATATATACTTTTTTATATCATATTAAATAATATGTAATATAACTACTTGTAAATTATATAATAAATGGATACATAATGTATTTATGTACATGAAATCTAAGTTGATATATTGTTATGATATTTTTATCATAGAAAGGTTTGTTTGGAATAAATTTAACAAAATTTACATTGTTTTAGCTAACAGTTAAATTATTAGAATTTTCCTGCTTTATTAATGTAACTACATAATATATTTTGTAATTTGCCCATGTATATTTCATTAAGATATTGAACTTATTTTATAGAATATTGTTGGGTATTAAAATGAATTTATTTTTTTCCAAAAAGTAAAAAATAATAACAATATACTATATGTAACAACTTTTTAGACAAAAATGTATAACCTATATACTCAAAAGTAATAAAACGTGAGACTAAGAATAAAAAGAATTAACTGTTTATTTAGTTTCACTGAAACCTTACACTTGACGTATTACGCTATTTACGAATGAAACATTTTTTCATTAGTTATTTTTAATATAATAACAGTATTTTGGTACATTTAACTTGTTACTTTGATTTTGTAATACTTGTGTTTTGTAGTTTCAAACTCATATCTACTTTTTACTCATCAGCACTCAGCGTAGCCATACATTTCACAGTTGTTGCTACTATAATATGTAGAAATACCATTGTTTTGTTTTTTACAAAAAAACATTATAATTTAAATTTGATTTACAGAAAATTTTATATTTATGGAGCATGTCATATGGTTAGTGCCAGTAAAAGATAAAAACAAGTATTGTAAATAGCAACAACCATGCAGTATTTAATTACCACCTTATAGCTGGTAGAGATCCACATTGCTAGACATGATCTGTCGAGAGCGGGACGCACGAAGTGTGCAGTCCCGAGACGAAGATCAGACTTGCGTAAAACTGCCGTGTAAAGCAGTTTCCTCTTGAACACCAGACTGACCAGAAGCGTAGTACTGTTAGAAAAAGAAGTATGATGAATAAAAAATACACATCTTTTGTTTGTCTCAAGGTAAACAGATTTTATGACAAACTGTAAGTTTCAGCGAACCGTAACATATGGTCCAATTTTAATTTTTAAGTCACTAGCCACGGTTATAGCTAAAGTTTTGGACAGGCTGCTTGATGGACATTTGGAGAGGCATATTAAACTTCACGATTCTCAATTTGGCTTTAGACCCGGTCTTTCTACAGAGAGCGCCATCCTTTGCCTCAAGCAGACTGTACAGTACTATACAGCTAGAAAAACTCCTGTATATGCCTGTTTTTTGGATCTATCTAGGGCTTTTGATACTATAGACTATGATATACTATGGAATAAACTCAGGAAGGAGACAGATGTACCCTTCGAAGTTACATCTGTTTTGCAATATTGGTACCACAACCAACGCAATGTCGTGAAATGGGCAGGCGAGCACTCGGATGTGTATGGGTTGGAGTGCGGTGTGAGACAAGGCGGCCTTACCTCGCCTCGCCTCTTTAACCTGTACATTAATGGGCTGCTTGCAGAGCTGGGTAATAGCGGTATCGGTTGTCACGTGGGGGGCGTCTGCGTAAATAATATCAGTTACGCTGACGATATGGTATTGATAAGTCCCTCAATCGGCGCGTTACGAAAATTATTAAGTATATGTGAGAGGTATGCTGAGGCCCATGGACTGAGATACAACGCGAATAAAAGTGAACTCCTGGTGTTTAAAGCGTGTAAGAAAGTTTATGCTAATGTTCCACCTTTATATCTTGGTGGCACTGCTTTAAGACGAGTTGAACAGTTCAAGTATCTGGGTCTGGGTAACTTTGTTCAAGGCATATTGCCAATCCTTTTATACCTGCAGCCTTTGGGTTAAGTATACGCAGCGCGCGTACAGCGCTCTGCGAGTTCACAATGCATTCAGAGTGTTGTTCGGATTGCCGCGCTACTGTAGCGCCTCCGAAATGTTTGCTGAGAGGCGTGTTGATAGCTTTTATGCAATTATTCGCAAGAGGAGTGCATCTGCGCTTCAGAGGTTGCGACCCAGTTCGAACGGCACTCTGTGAGCACTGGCTGGCCGCTGGGACTCTGAAATACTGCGCCACTGGGTACGGCTACACGCTGCCTAAAAATGGCGATTTTTGTTTTTTGTGTTTGTCTTTGTTTTGTTTGTTTTTATTATTATTATTATTATCATTTGCTTTTACTAACATTAGTTATAAGGTTGACATGTTTTACTAATATTTAAATATGTACTATGTCTGAGATAAATAAATAAATTAAAATTAAATTAAGTACCGAGTCACTCAAAAAGTTATATCTAGAAGATGCACAATAACATTATTTTCGTTAATCAAACATTTGCAAGCATTTATATGGTTTTTAATTTCAACTTTATACTGGCATATAAAAGAAGCACGAATAAATTTAAAGCAAAAAGTTTTAATATAGAATCATAAAGCACATTTCTAGTTCTAGTTGAAGTTTTCATAGCATAAATTTGTGTTTGATGTCATGCTTCTAACTTTATGATTGCTGTTAAATTACTTTTTTAAAAGTTTATTTTAAGTTTATTTACATGACACATTACTGAACATTACCTATTATATTTACATATTTTGTATTCTAATAAAGTCAGGCTACGTTTAAATGATTTTATGTAGAAGGTTTAGTAACTAAGGTTCGTTTCTTTTTATGTGCCGTAGGTATCCAATGAGCAGACGGAGACGCTTGCGTTAGTAGTCATGGGCTTCGAGCATTATCAGCTAATTAGGATTTTGATGTTTCAATCAAAAAGGCTGGTGACCCAATCGCACTTTACTTGGATTTGTATGTAGGTTGGAAACTTCTATAGAAAGAGAGAAGAGATTTATGTGAGGACTAATATAAGGTATATATTACAATTATTATATACAAAGACGCTGACTGCCAAAACTTCTTTCTTGTTTTCAATAGCCTCAATCAATGCATGAGTTATACATAATAGAAGATTCCCAGAGCTGGACGAAAACTATTTTGACAGTCACTAATAATCTCGTTTTGTTCAAGATTATCCAAAAACCTAATTGATAATTCTTTCCATTATCTTTGTCAACAATGATACCCCTTTGGTTGGATGGTCTTTGGACATCGTCTGGTCACCATTCTATAAATAGGGTAGACATTAAATAACACAAAATCAGAAGTATTTCTATAGAATAAGAGAGTAAAGATAGGTATGATAATATCAAAGTCTACTATGAGTATAATAGTGGGGATTTCATTCGCAATAATGGACTGTCGTAAGACTGGATTTCTTGAGAGTATAAGTCACTACGAACGAGTTGAATTCAGCGTATAAAGAGAACAAAGAAGTTTATCTTTCTGATTGTGAGGAGGGCTTGCGGAACGTTTGTTTCACAGCTTTGGCAAGAGTTTAAAAAGAACCGGTTACCGTAGGACAGGAGTCCTCCGGCAGCCGGTTCCTCTTGGATAAGAGTCGAAAGGTGCTTTGAGGGGCAATCGATAAAATTCTGGGTGTTCAATCAGCGGACGGTCCAACAAAGACGAATTACAGTCACCATCATAAGTGACACTGGTATATTTTGATACTATCTCTGTTACTCCATAAGCTAATGAAAAGTGCTAAACGACCTTGAGGAATGGTCCTTAAGGTTGTGAAAGGTTACAATCATTACAAATAGTTACAGGCAAATCCCAGCCCACCAGGAAGTGTGTATTTGGGACAGTAAAGACACATTTTATTTAATATTTAGGTATCCAACAAGAATAATAAGATTGCTTTCGACGTTTTTAGGTGGTAATGGCAGATTATCAGGTGAAAAGAAAAATTGTGAAAAAGAAAGGGATTAATGGTTTCATCTGCCTGGACTCTGAAAATGAAATACGGTCAACTATTCAGGACAAGTACAGATTGATAAATAACAGTGGGCTACCATACATATTAACCTTTGGGGAGAAGAAAAGTTATGGATAAAAGAAGGGCAACTGTTTCTCTTGTAAAAACGATGAATACCAGCGGAAAATGTTATTTCACGTTGATATTCAGTGGGAGGGTAGTCATTCTCAGTCAGTGAGTCGAGCCAGTAAAAATACAAAATGCAGTCAGATAACATGTAGCTTTTACCGTAAATATAGTCAATTTATCCCGTTTTTCTTTTCTGTGGCTACACTTTTAAATTGTAACATACATAATGATAGGCTTGGGTTATATATCATTAAGTATCGCTGTTAAAAGAGGAACATGACAACGCCAAAGTATCAAGTTGTAACTATAGAATCTATGTGTTTTTTGCAGGAATGACCGATACTATTTGTATATGTTTGTTTGGAGGTAATATTTAACACCTTTTCAATTTAAAACAGTTTCGTTGTAAAATATTTTTCATCTTTTACTAAGTGTTATTATAATAAAATATGAGATACATATTTATCACATAATAAGTTACTTACTCCTGCAAAACCTCCACCATTCCAATCCATTTGATCCGTTTCTTCTCGTTGTTCACGTGGTGGTGTTGCTTGATTCAGACGTGTATTCCGAGATGCATTGTCTCTTAACGCCTTTCTCAAGGAAATATTTGCTCGAACAGCTTCAGAACGTCCATGTTGAATGAATTCCAACAAAGCAATAGTTAGAGCAACGCCCAATCCTGCGACTAAGATATAAAAGAGTCCAGCAAATTGGTTCAAGCTCAGTGAAGCGCCGTGTACCTGGAAATGGAAGTAGTTAATGACTTGCAACTCTAAGTATGTATTTTATTAATATTTGCTACCTCATGATCAACAGCACATTTTGTGTCAATGAACCATTTTCGTACAAGTACTTGTAGCTCGCCACTATCTCGTAAAGCTTGAAGAGCGAGATTTACACCATCCCTAAAAGAAATCCTTAAACTCAAACCCAAATAGAAGTATCACCCAAGACGGGATTATAACCGCGAGGCATATTCGCAAAGGCTGGTCGAACACAAAAAATATATATGTTTTAAGAAGTCGCTGTATTCGCAAATGCCTGAAAAATGGAATGTTCTTACCGTAGTTTAGATCCTTTTGGAAATGCTACAGCAAAATCTTTTATTCCAGATTGTGTGACGGACACTAACATTTCGCATGGTTTCTTCTTTTCTTCACCCAAAAAGGATTGTGTTGATAAAAATCCCATCCATGTATCATCGGGTTCTTCAATATATTTAGGTGCTTGATCCTAAAAGGAAAAATATTAAAAAAATTGTTCTCGTTGGAGCACATTGTATACATCGATACAAACCTCGGGGCAGTTTGTAACTTTACTGTAAGCATGAAGGGGTTCATTAATACGCGTTATTGTCAAATATGAAGCCATGTTTGCTGTGTATGTGGAAACCACTACAAGAGCGAAGAAACACCATACAGAACCAACAATTCTCCCAGAAATTGACCTATAAAAAAGACTTCATTACAAGTGAACCGTAATTTATATTAGCAATAAGATATATGTATCTAACTAACAAATACAATTCTCGTGTCTCATGAAATGAGTTGATCGATTCTCATAAAATTTTGTTATCTTTTTTGGCATCGTACAAAAATTTAAAGGTAATCGAACCCTTAATTTCTAAATCTTAATTTTTTATGATGCAGCATTTAAAATTAAATACATACAATGAAAAATTTTCAACCTTTACAATCAACCTAAAAATTATAGACGGAATTTTTGGTTTTACTAATGTCGAAACATGAGCACCTAAACCGGTTTCGTTAATTATATTTTAGAATATTCTTCGAAGTTCGTAGAAGGTTCTTGCGGAGAACAAAATTGTCTGAAAATCCTAAAACCAACACCTTTCTATATTACCATAAAAACAATTCATAAAAATACTTAACATTCAATTTAAACTCTAATAATAAAATAAAAAATTAGGCTCTATAGAATGGTCTTTATTCCTTCCTAATTTTTAGTTGAAAGGTTTTTTGACGGTAAAAATTTGAATTATGTTACATATGCTCCACATATTGAAAATAAAAAAAGCATAGCCGTGGCAACAAAACTATACGAATAAAATATCATACGAGTAGCGTTGCTGATTCCGCGGAAAAACACCCGGGCCGCAAGAACTAGAAGATTTCTGATTCCACACGAGAAATGGAATGGCACTGATAACATAACATCGGTTTAATCATATTAGCTTAGGTATACGTTTCAAGTTTTAGCTATGTAATTTTTATTAAATAGGTCCAATTAAGTTTCTTTGGTTTCCTGGAACATCTGGCTAGCCAGGAAACGCATTTTTTATAAGTATCGTATAAATATTGATGTCAATATTTGTCTATATTTGATAATAATAATTAATTGAATTTAGGTGCCATATAATTTTATTTTTTGACATAATATAATTGTTGGTATTTTACCCTTTTATATCTTTCTAGCTGACCCGGCATCCAAAATAGCGGAATAAGTAATGAAAAAGTAATTTACAGGGTCTAATAAAAAGTATACAGGGTCAGTTTTACATTTCTGATCGGAAATTGTCGCGGACGAAGTCGCGTACAAAAATGTGTATATTTATATTACTAACCTCGGTGCGATATCGCTGCCTTGTTGCATAAAAGAACCGAGAGAGAACCACATAGAATTCCATAAATTAAATTCATTTACAACCGTTGTCTGTAACATTGAAAGAAGTTTAAATGTTAAAGCATAAATAATTATTTTTTATTAAAGAAGATTATTGTTATTAAAATTAAATATTCCCTTTAAAATAATGACTGGTAAAAGGAAAAAGTGTTCGCTATGTAAAATTTCTAGGTACTTATTATTTATTTACTTAGTTTATCTTAAGAATACGGAAAAGAATATCTGAAATACCTTAGTTGTTGCAACCTCGTTGTTTTCGTTTGTATGAGAATCCGTAAAAGACATTACACGCCATTCGTTAGGAGAAAATCTCGAAACAAGAAACAGGCAAAAGCTAACACCAAAAAAACTTCCTATGATGCAGAGCTAAAATTAAAAAAAAATATTATTAAATATCAAAACCAACTTAATTAAAATATCAATGATAGAAAGCAAATTTTAAGACCCAGTTTCACCGATCAATGGTAAATAAATGACGTCTTGTTAGGGCGTTTGATAGTCCACGTGTGTAACGCCCACCCGCGCTCTCACCTCGCCAATGTCTGTTTTAAGGTCTTAACAAGGCATTCATATTAATTTCTGCTCCAGAGGTCCGACAAATGACTAACAGACTGTCAATCTATTGCCAAAACACAAATGTCCATTCGCACCCGTGCTTTTTGTAGCCATAGTATTGGCATCCGTTTCGTCAGTTTTGACTATTTCCTTGTATTTATTTATAAGGTGAATAATAAATTCTTTTTCATATGATGATTTTGCATCAAGCTTTTCTACGATGTTACAAATTAAGTTCTCTTTTCATCTCTTATAACTTGAACACAATTTATACTTATACATATTTATAACAAAATAATATTCACCACAAGTTATTGACAACACGATTTTTTCAGGTTACACCTAACAAACTGAAAAGAAAGCTTTTTGTGTGAGAAATATATGCAATCAAAGATACATAAAATTTGTTCGCATTAACTAACAAGTGACATATCGAGGGATATATACGATGAAAGTATAAAGTGGTTCATCGTAGAAAATGTGTCGTATTAAACGCTATAACTTCAATTTGGTCGTCTTTCAAAAAGAACGAATAATTCGGTAGTCCATCATTTTACGTGATATTTAATAATGCGTTGTTAGTTTTTCATCGTGGAACGTAAATATTTTAAGAAAGTTATATTTTTGAAGGTTCGTTAGTATATGCCTCGGTTAGATATAACAAACAGAGTTTGGTGAAACTGGGCCTAAAGCTAAATAAAAATTTATTTAGAAATACGTATATGTGTATATATATATATATATGATATAATTACCCATATCTCTTTGGAGAGTGGTTGAAAAAAACTAAAAATGGTACCGAAATGTGTATTACTCTTAGACTTGACATCAAACGACAAAAATGGCTTGCTGAAATCAATGACCCCCTCGCGTTCCAATGTAACAGTTAACGGTGCAATAACTAAATCTGCTTCCTAAATTTAAAAAATTCAAAAAGTTAAAAACAGTAAGACATCATTCACAGAATATTTTATCCTTAAATAATTATTAATAATTAATTTAACCTAAAATCTACTTTCAAATAAATCAGACATTAATAAATATACATATCATACAATAACCCAATAGCGTTAAACCATCTTACACGAATATAATATTACGTATGTTTTGATCGATTGTCGAATGCGGACTCGCTCTTATGGAAATTGTGATATCAAGTGACACACATCTTAGGCCTTGAGTATAATATTATACGTTAGACTTGTAACTATACATCAAATATTTAATAAATAGTATCGTAATTATTTCAAACCTAGGAAATTGTTTTGGTTAATGTTAGTAAATATTTATGTAAACAAATTTGACTTTAAAAAATCTGTTAAAAAGTTTAGTTTACAGGGCATTTTTGTCATAAATGTAGAGAAATGCAAGAAAAGGTGATAGAACTAAAATAATTATTTATTTGATGCCATTTTACATAAACATATTTTAATATTTTCCATTATAATTAAAATAGATACCATTTTTACGAACATTTATATATTAAAATTACAAAAAAAAAAACAAAACAAGAATTAAGAACATAAGATGACACAATTATACCAGTTGTGAGATTGTAAGTTGCTGGGAGCAAAATAGCGTACCAACTGGATTCCTTTAAAGACTTAAAGCGTAGGTTATACTGTTTTGCATTTCAATGTATCATTTCTTATGTATGTTTTTACAGAGAGCTTGAAGGTTAATGATCCAGAATTAGATTAAAAAGATTTAAATCTCAACGTATCCTTATCAAAAGGAATTAATAAATCAGATAGTATGTCAATAATTTTCTAAGAACGCAGTTATTAAACTTTCTCCAAAATATACTCTTGTTATAATTCTGGAGACTTTGCTAATCTATTTCTTTACGACATCAGCAAAAACAACATCTGTATTCTTTTAAAAACTCATCACCATTAACTCATCTCACCTATTTAGCATATGTGTAGTTCTAAGTAACTGTATGCTAAGGCATCTATCTAAGGATAGCGCAGATTAGCAATCCTTTTAAGTTTAAACCAAACTTTAAATTAGATATATATATTTATCTATTGAACGTCTATTCATAAAAATTATTTTAATAAGATTAATATACAGAACGTAATATATACACTTAATAGATATAAAGGAAATATTTTTAAAAAGCAATTTTCTATCTCACGTTCATATTGAAGCTTCTTACAAACGGGGTACTCCGTACTATGAATTTCTTAGGAGGTTTCAGTTACAAATACCATTGACACGGTTTAAGTGACGTGTGCTTTGTGAAAGAGTAGACTTTTAAGCAGCACGATAGAAACTGCTGATGCAAAAGACGCTAGGGATGTCTATGCTGTCATTTAAATAAAAAAGTAAATAATATTGATGAATTGTATTAAAAAAAATTAGAAGCGTGTATAAGGTCAGTAACAAAAATTTTACATCGTGAATTTTTAAATGAACGATATTAATTTTTATAATCTTTTAAAAAGGTATACATGTGATCTTGTCAGAGGCTTTAACTCTCATACATCGACATTTTAACGTGGCATCTCGATTACTTTGCAGCAATCTCTTTAGAGTGAAGAGAAACGACTATCTGTCTGTCAAAGTAATTGAAATGTTGGTTAAGCTGTCAAAAAGCTGACATAACATCGAATAAAAACGGAAATATTATTTTCATTTCAAAAGGAATAAATAGTAATTAGTATATTATATTTAGTTGATGTATAAGTTGTTCCAAATATTTTACATAACACGTGTTATCACTCGATTTAAGAAAATCCAAAAAAAATAATTTAAACCTAACATTAAGATAAAATAAAGGAACGTTACATTCTGAACACCTATTATTATGTAACAAATGTTAATAAAATTTGTAGGGCGTCCATACGTTTTCCTATAATATACACCATAAGACGTTTTCTTTCACAATACATAAGATTTTTATATTAGTTGTTCCATGATCTTAATGATGTTTTTTGTAAAACTGTTGGATTGGATTATAAGACAACATTTTTTTATATAGTTCTTAAAAAGTAATACTGTCTGGACTTCACATGATTGCTGAAATTTTATTTACAAGGTTTTATTTAGTTATGTCTTTCTAATAACTGTAATAAAAATAAAAGTCCTTATTCCTTTATAAATACATATTTTTATATATATATAATTCTTCTGTGAGTGTGTATGTCACTGAACTTCTCTCAAACGACTGGACCGATTTTGATGAAATTTTTTGTGTGTGTTCAAGGGGATCTGGGAATGGTTTAGATTTACAATTTTGTGCGATGGACAATGTTTTTCTAATGAATTTTTTATTTATTCAAAATTCACACTTCAAAACACGGAGATTTATGGTTTTAATAGGTAAACTCGAAAAATATAAATAAAAAACGTAACAGATATTTCTTGATTATAGGGCGATACGAAGTCGGGTCTTCTAGTATGATAAAAAATATTACGATTACTATTAAGTTTCGTCACTTTAACAAATGGGTGATTTGAAATAAATGAAATTATTCATACCTTGCGTACAAGTTCTCCTACGAGACCGTCCCATCCAGACGGAAGTTTTGTGTTGATAGCTCCATACTTGCTATCCTTGACAAGATGTATCTCAACTGAAAAATAAATAAATATGTACCACAGTTACAACAACATTTGAATAGTTGCGAGTGACTTATATTGAAGAAATGAACCTTTCATTTTTGACCTGATCTTTATGTCCGGATAAGAACCGGAATATTATCACCTCATTCAAATTATTTGGAATAAACAAGTTTGAATGAAAGTAAAACTATAATATTTCGAATAATGAAACTGATCCTGATTTATTTCGTATATTAAATAAGTATTTTAGAATCAGCTATTTAAATGTATTCATTAGAAGCTCATATGCACGAATATTTATAATTAGCTATTCAAATTGAAGTTATATAATTGGAGGTTTATTTCTTTTATCATTTTCACAGCAGTTTTATTTCTCAGATATCTGCTATTGCATCTCTTACTAACGAAGTGGTATTGCGTTGCCAATACTTTAAATAGATACATCTCTTAAAAGATCAAGATAGCAATATTTAGGTTTCAAACAAAATTATAATTGAACGTCATTAAAATGGTGAATAAAGGATGTAGAAAACACAGTAAGTCGAAATCTTTTTTATATTACAGTATAAATATTTAATAATTATTAGTGTTTTATGTATAATATAATTACTAGTTGGCATATTTTGACCAAGAGAAATAAAAACCTATTGTAGATTAAAAACTTAGACGAAGTCTTACCTTGCGTAAGGGAAAATTACATATCATCAGCAAATAGTGGTACGATATGGAACATTTTAGTATTAAAATTGTAAGAATTGAGGTTTTTCGTACTACTTACATTTGATTTCTAATTTCTCTAACACCAAGTACGCCAAATCAACGCAAAATCCAGTATATTTCGAAGACTGATCCGTGTATTCGTTGTTTATGATTACGTAGGGATCTTCAGCTATAGTGGACATTATGTAGACTTTATTTCGATCGTAAAATCCCACTTCTTTTAAACCTGGCAATTTGGTTTTTACTGGTATCAGACCTCGATCATCATACCATGTTCCAATCTGTATTAAATAGGAATTATTTACTTTCATCTTAATATCTTTAGTAACATTGTTTCTCAAATTAATAGCAACTACATTTTAAACCTTATACGACTGGTGTATATAAATATTTACAGTGTTAATATCGTATGCAATATAATAAAATAATAGATAATAAAACGAAGCAATATCATATTTATTTTTACTCCAACTAAATAAATAAATAAATAAATAAATAAACTTTAGTATTTTAGTAAAGTTTTATAAGTGGATACTAGCTCATTTTATATACAGAAATAACAAAGAAAATATGTTTAAAGTCATAATTGCTGTTATCCCAAATACAAATTACTAAGAAAAACCTACACTGATTATCATAACTTTTTTATTTATATATTGTTGCTGGAAAACGATGTTATATATGTACTAATGACACGTTATATTTAAGTTTCGACTAAAATAAAAAAACCTCAAATGATAAGTTCACTCATGTATCTTAAAATCTTATGTATACTTCCTTTGACACAGTGTATATACAGGGTGACTGGTGAATTACTATCAATATTTAAGGAGCATACTCGGTACATGATTCTCATTCGAATTATGTAAAAAAAATAGGCACTTAATTTTTGACCAAATTTCCGTATAAATAAATAAAGTGTGTACACATTCCATGTGTTCCTAGTGTGGACGCGTGCGACGGCGTACTGATACAACAACACGCCGCCGCGCGCGAGTGTGTGTGTGTGTGTATACCTAATCTGTAGGGTGTTCATACGATGCGTAATTAATTACATAACTTTTGGTTAACTTTACTTAGAAGTTTATTAATATTTATGTTATATTAATTTTTATTTTGTCATATATGATCGTCATATATCACGTCCTCAAATATCGATAGTAATTCACCAGTCACCCTGTATATTCAAATAATAATAAATATAATTTCAAACAATTTATATATAGGTACAAGTGTAAATAGTTTCTACATTGAAGGCTGTTTTTGTAAATGAGAACCTGTGGATTATAGTGTTAGTTATTATTAGGTTACCTTAACCATTTCCCGATTAACAGTCATCTCAATAACTTGAAGGGTAAAGTTTCGTCGATGACCTGTCTCGGTGAATCGTATGAGACCAGTAAGACCATCAAGCTCCGTCTGCGGAACAACACAATGTCTTCAAGGTTCTTCATGAAAATAGCTTGATCCATTGTTGTTGCAAAACTATAGGCCCTTGATTGGGTGGTAATGAACATAAATTATGTACTCAGAAATAAAATATGTAATTATTCTCGTTCATTTCTGTATGTATGTTAAAATATTCACGAGTTTTTATCCATGTGTAACGAAATCTTAGAGCGTAATTAATTATTTTGTGAATTGCAACTTTGCACACTTATCAAAGAACAATGCGTTAGTATCGGACCTTAATATTCAACTCCTATATGTGGTTGTGTCTGACATTACCAAATATTTCATAGAACAATTTGCTAGCTTGTTTATAGCATAATATCATTATATAACCGCTTATTACATTTTACTTCAAACAATATAGTAATAGCAAGTAGTTACAAATATATATAAAATGCAAATATAAAACGTATTAAAGTAACGGGTGTTTTTTCTACAGGTATACAACTTTGAAATAAAATAAAACAAAAATGATTTTTTTTATTGATATGAAATATAATATTTTGGAAAGATAATATTCTGTCATTATAATTTAAATAAGATTTCAGGCATATGACCTCCACGACTGGCTCGTACGTAGTTTAATCTGGAGGTCCAATTTTCAACGACTCTTTCAAACATTCGTGACTGTATATCGGCAATAACGCGACGAATGTTATCCTCCAAGTGATCAACGGTTTCGGGCTTATCAGCGTAGACTAACGACTTTACATATCCCCACAGAAAATAATCAAGCGGCATTAAATCGCATGATCTTGGGGCCAATTCACGGATCCGAATCGTGAAATTATGCGGTTAACAAATGTTTCTCTTAAAAATTAAATGTGGCACGAGCTGTATGACATGTTGCACCGTCTTGTTGAAACCAGAACTCCTGAACATTATGGTTGTTTAATTGATGAACGAAATAGTCACTAATCATCGCTCTGTAGCGGTCACCATTGACTGTAACGTTCTGGCCAGCATCGTTTCTAAAGAAGTACGGACCAATTATTCTTATCTTCTGTACGCACTGTACGACATCTCTGTGGATGCGTATTATCATTTAGAGTAAATGTAGTGCGAAAACGTTCCATTGTTAATCGAATTAATTGTGTTGATGGACGATTATGTGTTTTTCGAACAGAGCCATGACTTTCAAAATAAATTTGCACAATTTGGAGGCGTTGTTCAGGTGTTAGTCTATTCATGATGAATTGCCAAACCAAATTAAACACAAATCACTGGACAGCTATCAAAATAACTGCCAGTTAAAAAAGTATTGGCAACTTAAAGTTGTATATTTCTAGAAAAAACACCCTTTATAAGTTTAAAAAACTCTATTGTTACATTTTTTTTAATAATTTACTTCAAATAATAGTATTTCACATTTATGAGCATCGAGAAGTATAGGAAAATTATTTGACTCATTGAGTCCATATAGTTATGTCAGCTGCATAAATTGTTTTAACATGAATGTTGCTGCAATTTATATCTTACTAAAATTAAAGATGTGATATGAATACTGAGCGTTTTAATGGAACATGCTGTAAATCACAGTGTTCTATAAACAGTCATTCTCTTACTGTTTGAAATAACTACTTTAATGAAGTTGTTTGTATCTTCAGTGTGAGCGAAATGAATTGTAATTTAAAACAGCTTAAACGTTAAAATTATTGTTATTTCTTAATTAATAATATTTATTATAATAGTAAGTGATTGTTTAATATCTATTTTTATAAGATAGAAGTCTTAAATAATATACAAGTATATATATTGTTTTTTATCTCAACAACGTAGTTGGAAAAGATTTTTGTAACAGACGGAGTGTCGTATCATATATGTGTAACACAAAGTTGTTCTTCTTCGTAATGGAACTAAAATGTTGTATTTATATTTACAAAATAAAGTGAAACTACAACTTAAAAAAGTTGTTCAACTTTCAATAATAAATTTTCATATCATAATTTTGATTGTAATAATTAATTATTATGTCTATAATTTAGATTTTTACATTCTTTGCGTATATAATTTTAAAATTATGTACTATGGATTTCAGACGTTCTTCTCGTATATTTATACGAACAATAAGGATTCCTCTCCGTGTTCAATCAAAAGAACAAAGACCTATACACGAGTGTACTACAACACGCTTGTGAAGCGGCAAAACATAAGATGTCCCTCCCCATTTATGGTGTACAAAGGAATAGGACAAGTTATACCTCTCCCATTTCCATATAGCTGGTTTAAAATTTTTAACTTATTCCTTTCATTGCTCTGTCAGATATTTCATACTTTTTGTAAATTAAAACATTTGCTTACTTTTTATTTCAAAATATCTTAGTTAAACGGTATCAAACCGTTTATAAGATACAATCTATATTTTATACTCAGTTAACATACGATTCAAAAACGTAATGAAGCATTCGCTAGCAGTCATGTAATATATCAATTGGCATCATTCATTCGCATAAGCAGAACGGAATTTGAAATATTTCCCAGTATTCAATAACTTTATCATATAAATTAAATATCGCATAGAAAATGTAAAAAATAATATTTGTAGTTTATTTATTAGGGAAAGTAGAATTTTCTTTTGATTTTGCTTTAAGCTTCAAAAATTTCAATAACTAATTAAAATATACTTTTCAAAATCAATCTAAAAGTTTTATCACATAAGAGAATTATTTTTTATTTATTAATTATACTTATTGCACCCACCCGTTTGATGATTTTGGAAATCCTCTCGCCATATTCATAAGGTGAAATTTTATTGGTTGGGTTGCAGTCAATAGCTTTGGAATTATTTACAAAGCTGTTGCGCCTCATGTTTGATCGAAGAAAGTCGGGTTTCTTTCTGAGCATTCGAAGTATGGAATCAACGAGAACTTGTGCAGCATCGTACATAAGGGCTGCCTGCGCCTAAGGTAGAAAATAGATATGTTTATTCGTCATAGGTTAATGATAAAGTTAACTAAAAAAACGGAACATTTTTTTATTTCAAACATCTCAGTAATTATGGTAATTAACAAGAAACTAAAAGAACGCTGTTTAGAAAGATCGACACCAGAATATATAATTTGAATTTCATAATGATTTGAGTACGTGCCCTCAGGAAATTGTTCTTCCCGACTTAATATTGCTATCACGTAAATATGTAATGGTAACCTACAGCCCTGTTTTTAGTGACCCTTTTGAGATGAATCTCAATTAAGTTTTCTTCACGTCTAAAAGAAAACTTAATTGTCTTGGGTGTATTCGGATTGTATTGGTTTTGTTATCGCTTGTTGAAATCTTGTGTACTAATATTTCTCGTTAGATTTATTACTGTTTTGCTGTTTTGTTACCTAATTGCAGTTACAGGAATATATAAAGAGTAGAAACCCATAAAATTTCTAATAAAATATTTAAGGACAGAAATGAAATTATTCTAATATTATAGTATTTTAAAATTAGTAATATTATGGAAATAAGTAACGCTCACCGATATAGAATCCCTCCGCCATACTTCAATGAAGTTTTGAACGATTTTCCTTGAAAAATCTAGAAGTCGGAAACCTGTTATGTTAATAGCACCGTATTCAGTAACCTCTTTTTCCCAACGATCATCCAGAACCTAGAAAAATAGTAATATTACATATTGGTAAATAATTAGTTGAAAATCACTGACTAATTATTGGTATGTATATAAATCCTTACCAAGCCAGTGAGAAAGTAGTGATAGTTTCGTCTTCCTAGTTGGACATCGCGAACATGTAGGATTAGTGTATCCTTTGCTAGTTTGGTGCCACAATCCAATACTACATATTTATTGCTCCAACGATCTAGTCTTTCCAGTGAGCCAAGAAAAGTGACAACTTCTATGGCATTGGACACGCGTTTTACATTCGTTATACGGAATGTCGCCATACCTGGTTGCAGGCTTTGGTATAGCTGTTGTAAGCGAAGTAATCCTAAAATAAAATATATACAGATATAGGTATATATTAATTATAATATTAGAGTATATTGAATTTTTTTTGAAGTTTTAAATAAAAAAGTTACATTTATAGTTGACCTTTCATTTTACAAATAATATGTTTAATTTTGTGAGAGTCATATTTTATTACTTATAGATTGTATTATTATATTTTTTATGTTAGCAGTGTCACTCGAAAGTACAAAACCTTAAAAATTGCGGCTTATATCAAAGGCTTCTATAAGGTTTTGATGTAGCTGCCAGGCCTACAGTCGAGTGCAGACCGGGCAACAGAGCAGCGTAGGTCTAAAATTTCGTAATAAAATAAAGCGTGTCCATGTCCGTGAGGAAAAGATCTGACTGTTAGGGAGCTTACAATTTCATAGCGTCTTGAGTATTTTTATGAATGTCACTTGGGCCTTTTTCTATCTCCTTTAAAAGATTATGGCAACACCGTGGGTGATTTAATAAAGCGGCATAGCAGATTAGTCCCCTTGTAACATCCATTAGGGATATGTAATTATCTGCACTAAATTTTGCTTGATATTCTCATATAAATTTAAATCTACCATTCTGTTTTATCATACATTTAGACCACTTAAATGAAAGTTATGACGATAACAAAAATAAATTTTATTTGAATTTTAACTACCTAAATTAAAATAAGTATACATAATATGTAAGTCATGTATGTATATGAATAATCGTTTTCAGATATTATTATTTTATAAAATATCAATTTATGTTATAGTACAGTCTTGATTGTCAAAACTACTTGATTTACATTATGACAGCAATTAAAACAACTTTGTAATAAATATTTTTATCTGATATTTGTTTAAAAAGAATAGCATCGTCAAAAATTTGAATTTAGAAATTGGATTTGGAAGACCAAAGTAGATATGTGAAAATCATAAAAACATAAAACCCAGTAAGTTGATATAAGTTATCGGATAACCTACACTCGTAACCCTTATATACTAATTTTGTTGGATGCAATCGATCTAAACAATAAAATATGAAAAACAGATCTGACATAACATACTGTAATATAATTTTCTAGTAGATAAACTTTTAAATGTTACGTAGTGTTTAACTGATTCGTAGTTCTCGAACTAAATTGTGATATTTTGAATTTCAGTTAACCTACATTTTTATTTATTAAGTCTTATGTTATGTATGTACGATTCAAGATAGAAATTAGGTATGTAAAAGAAATAAGAATGTTTTAAAAAATCCTTTTGCATTATTTCATTAATGAGAAATCAGAAATTACGACATGGTCACGGAATATAACAACAACAGTTACACTCTTTAACTACGTAGGTATTGAACGGATTTAATGAAACATGTCAATACAAGATGATAAGCGTCATTCATCATCAACGACTCATTATACCGCAATGATGTCTTCATAATTTAGGGGTAATATGCGCGAAAAGATTGAAGCGGTGAAAACGAGAACGACTAGAAGAGGGTTGACGTACGGGTAATGGAAGCGTTATCACTACACTTCAAATTTTTAGGGTTAGTTCAACTTACATTTCAAATACTGTGATTTGTTTTCTCACATTGATGTTACATACAATGTTGCAAATATACCACGTGTCTTTGGTTAAATTACATTCGCAGCATGATAGAATTGAATTAGTGAACAATGTCATCCAACTTAGAAAGCAACAAACATTTGTTCATTGCAAGTACTCGTCGTGCACTACGTTCATTGTAACTTTCTTTTTACATCTGCCAAATTCGAATCGAAAAGTTTTTCTTTATCTTCGCTAGTCTAACTCAGTAACGACGCAGCTTATCTTGGATCAACTCCGCTTAAACCGGCTAAGGAATCTTTGCAATGTTGGAGTTGTTGATTTTTTTTATGATCTGTGTTCCAAGTGGTCTTGTATTTGAACTAAGCAATATTGGACAGTTAATCCTGCTGCGTGTACTTTAAGACTTATTTTTTTATCGCAAGAATTAGGTATCTGCATATATTAAAGTCTTTATTATTTATAACTTTTTGTTACACTGCCTTTTAAATGAAAAAATATTAATTATTGAATTTCTTTACCTTTATTATGAGGATGTGTTTTATTACATATTATAACTGAATAATATTTATTGTATTTAACTAAACAATGGAACTTAACGAGTTTAGTTTCCGAATAGATTAACCAAAACTCTACTCATGTGGATCCCGATAAAACTTTCTAAGCATCGTACACTGATCTCTAAGGATTTCCAACTTTTTAATTTAACTTTTCTGTGATATTTAAGTCACAAAAAATATTTATAATAACAAATTTATTTAATTATTATAATGTATTTTTCTTAATATAAAAGGAACCAATATAATAATAGTAAATATATAAAGGCGTTCAAAAAATACATCTAATTGAGTTATACTTTAAAACTTTTTATTAGTAGTAACATAATCCTTATTACCATCTGTTTAAATATAATAATAAATTTATATTCACATTTTTAGTAGATAAAAGATAACAAACTTCCACCTATTTAATACTGGAGCATTTATGTTTCACATGAAGGATGTATGAAAATGATAAAGTGGCAACAACATTCCACTTGTCGCCTCCGTTATTTCCACTCAAGTCGCTTGCTGAAGCACTATCTCACGTGATTTTGAGACCAACCGAATCTTGAACACAGTTTTCAAATCTTTTTTATACATGTATAAAAATCAATGAATCTGTTATAGTGACATTAAAAAAAATTTACTTCGAGTCATTAGTTTTTAACAATTTTTTTTAAGTTAATGTATTAACTTTTCTGTATTTGACAAATTTAACAAAAAGTCGTTTTGTTTACATACATATTATTCTTTATAGAAGGTATTTCTATTTTCTTCTCAATTCCCTGTAAAACTTTTAACTCCTCAGCTTTTTTCAAATTTGAATATAATTTTTAAAATTCAATTTTACTCCATAACAAATCGTCGTACATATAAAATTTGTTTGGAATATATTTAAAATAATAATAATAATAATAAAAATGAATTGTACCGCAATATTCACGACGGAATTAACTTTATGAGAAAATGTTTTAATATACTTTTGGTTCCAAAATTTGTAACAAAATACTGTAATTTTTTATACTAAAACTAAAACGATGAATTCGAGTTAATGTACAAGTTGTAAACTCGTCGCTTGCTAAAATAAAAGTTTTTATAGTATTTGCTAGACAAAGACCTAATGTCAAAGTTCCCATTTTATAGATTCATCCTTTTTATATCACTTATAACTATTAAAAGAGTAGCAAAGCGTAAAATCTAGTCCACGGTTACATATTTATATAAAATTAAAATGCAATTTATTATATACAATATTTATATGTAATTTGTTACAAATTTTGAAAACTGGCACGTCTAAATTTGTGATCTTCAATCTACTATGGTCAAGCATTGACTCAGCTCTATTCATTTCACAATATAAAAGACGTAATCATTTCTTGAAGCAATCACGTCCACCGAGCCTTGCCGGAATTCCGTCAGAGCAACGTCTTAAGTCTTGGATAATGTTCTTTACAAAAAGAAATAGTTTTGAACGTTGCTTGAACTTGGATTCGGGAAGCTTTTAATTACTTTTTTATTTATAAAGGGCATTATTGCATTCTTATTTTTACTAGTCAAAAGCTTTGTAAAACAATTAAGCGTTACCTGGAAGTAATTATTAAAAAGAAATTATTAATATTATTCAAAGAGCACTCCAAAATCAAAAGACTAAATATAGAGCAAGAGCCATGGCCCGCCAGGCCTTCGTTAATTTATAGAAGCTGAAAGTTTTTCTGTAGATGTACCCAATACAAGTAGTCACGGTCCTCACCTATGAAACTTCTGTCGCGGTGGCTTTGGCAGATAACAGATTCTAAAGGTGTATAAAATTGTCTTTCACTTTCCTCATAGTATAAAATTCACTTTTGATATATTTTCATCGTAGTAATCTTAGAAATCAGACTGACCATCGCCAGACACTTAGTCGGGTGGCAACCCCTATCAGGCACCCCTAAATTATAAGTAATTTTATTTTTACTTTCGTTATATGTAATTTTTATATGTTTCTAATTTTTATATATGTTACTTTATATTTGCTCAGTAGTCAGGCAGTTTCGATGGTTCTTTTACCTGACCAGACACACTGAAAATCTTCTGAAAGCGCGAGTGCGAGGGACATATCATCGATGAAATACCAATACCCCCTTAGTGTGGGGAATCTAATTTTACACCAGAAGAAAAATACTGTTTAAAAAAAGATTTTGTATATTTTGATAAACCTTGATAGTAAAATAGTTTCTAAAACATTACCTTTTTATAAGTTACGAATGGATATTTTCATGTTTACGTTTTATAGGCATTTAGTTACTTAGGAGACAAATTTAGTTACTTAGGACCAATTTTTCTCGTTAAATGTTTTTTCAAATGTAAACATACAGACGGTAGGCTCTTCGGTTTCGGAACAATACTTTTTGTATGTGCTATATAGATCAGTCATAGAGCGAAAAGATGGCTCTAAATTTATGTAATTTGTTGCTGCAGTTAGAACATATTTCCATAAAATATATACTTACGTTCTCCCATAATAAATAATTATTTTTTTTTAAATTGTGATTCCTATTTGAATAAATATTGAAATGAAATTTAGAAATTTTTAAAACAGTTTTGATTAAACTGTTAGATTTTTGATGTAATAACTTATTGAAAATAATATTTTTCCGCATAATTTGTCTAAAATTAATATTTCTTTCTTCAATAATTTTATGTAACGATTTTTTTTGGTAAATTTAAAAAATAGTACACACAGAATACATTGCTAAATGACAGCTGATGCGCAGTAGAAGCTTGCAACAGACCCAGCGCACTATCTCACTCGCACTCGCTGAGATATATGTTCCTAGCTCTCGCGCTTATAATTTAAGGGTGCCTGGTAGGGGTTGCCACCCCTAGTAGGGGATTTTTAAGATTATTATGATGAAAATATATCA